CCAGAAGAACATCATCATTAACAAATACATAAACGCGTTACTCATTAAATAATAAATTCCGCTATTATTTATTTACATTTGTTTTAGATCTACGAGTCATATTACCATTTTAAAATATCCAAAACTTTGGTTTCAATGCCTCGGTCTTGTTAGGTCTACAAATGGTTATTGCACACCTCATATAATCCGTATTCTCAATCATTTATGAACATGCATTGTAATATTGCTGAACAGCGCGAAAACCTAAATAATTGAGATGAAAGTAATCGATTAATTATCCAGTCAGTCGACTGATACTGTATTTGATTTCCCATTTGTTTCTGGGGAGACATAAATTACGTTTCGTTTCAGACAGCAGGCGAAAAATAGCATACATTGTAATATAAACACAACTGTGGTAGATGTAAAATTGTTCCAGTCTGTTTGTAAAATGTATCGAATATTGAATATTTTTTTTCAGATGTTATAGAATAATGTAGTTAGCATGTTAAGTGCACCTGTTTAAAATTCATTATGTATAATTAGGCTAATATTTTAACGACGCACTACTTAATTCATTTTTGATGACACTTTTAAAAAAATCAATTGATACTATGTTTTTTTAATTGAGTAAATAATAAATTTATATAAAATAAATTCATTGACAAAAGATAATAATTTATTAATAATAATCCTTATGTAATATTTTGAAAAATTGATTCTAAAAGGTAACAATATAATCAAAATGGAGAAACTGATGATTACCTAATTCATAGTTAGTGACCTTGAAAAAAGAAAGACGTTTACTTTAACAAATCCAGGACGAACTAATTATGATCAAAGAAGACCATACTTTACATTATTATCCTAAACTTCACCGGTTCTGAAATTTATGGGCTCCTGATTAAGGACAAACAAAAATTTGGCGAATACTGAAATCATTGAACAAAGAAACAAAAACATGGCTTGTACTTGATCCTCTTCTTGTGCTTAACCAACTTAAAGAAGAGAAAGGTGATATAAAGACAGCGACTAATTACATGGCACTGTTAGATTTCTTGTAAACTGCGATCAAAATGCGATACAGCCTTTCTGCCGAAAATAAAGATGTAGGACATATTGCGAATGTGGCGATAATTGAACAAGTACCCTTTGACGTCACGTATCATTAAAGCATTAAATCAAGCGTCTAATTGACTGGTGTAAAATTGTTTCAGAAACTTTATCAGGTTCTATTTCAAAGTGGACCGTATTATAAGATATTGCTCTGTTTAACATCTATACAAAAAGATGACATTAACTATATTTGTTCATGCATAAATTCCGAGTTTGAATTTTTCACACACCCCAATTGTTTATGCTAAATAAGTTTATTAGACGTTTTATGAGGTTTAGTTTTTGCATTGATATTTAATGTTTTTTTTTTTTTAAAAAAACACAGTCTACGTGGTACTCATTATAATTTTTAACGTTAATTGATTCATTACATCGTGAAGCAATGGCACAGCGCAAGCAATCATCTTCTTTAGATTCTAAATATAAAGGGATTCTTGTTATTATTAATACTACTCTTGTCATGTTTGATTAATTTGTAGCATTGTGTTTGTATCGGGAGGGTCTTCATTTATGTTGTGAGAATATAGCCCACATGGCCTTTCCTCAGGTTTTAAATAAAACTTTTTCGCCGTGCTGTTTTCTCAGGTTGTAAATAAAACGTTCTCTTCGTAGTCCTTTCTCCGATTCCAGGTTAAAATTCTCCTCGTGGCATTCTCTTTTATTGCGGATAAAACATCCTCCTTGTGGCCTTTTCTCGGTTTGTGAATGAAACATCCTCCTCGTGGCATTTATTCAGGTTGTAGATGAAACGTTCTCCTCGTGCTGTTTTCGCAAGTTGTGGATATTTATTGTCTTCTTCTGACTGTTTCTTGTAATCACTTCTTATATTGTCGTTATTGCTGCTGCGGTAAACAAGAATAAAACTTGAGATATAAATGGAAGTTGTTTTATGGCCGCATGCAGATTGTAATTTCATTAAAGTCTATATATCATTTTTTATACCGTAACCTGCTTCCCCACGCCTAGTAAGGCCCTTTGACACTAATACACTTAATTCTCATGTCTAATAAGGCCCATTGACACTAATACACTTAATTCTCATGCCTAATAAGGCCCATTGACACTAATACACTTAATTCTCATGTCTAATAAGGCCCTTTGACACTAATACACTTAAGTCTCATGCTAAATAAGGCTCATTGACACTAATTAGCTTATTACGCACGCCTAATAAGGCCTATTGACACTAATACACTTATTACTCACGCCTAGTAGGGCCCATTGACATTAATCAACTTATTAGTGCACATTGGTTGTTCAGGACTAAGTAAGTTTCAATTTGAAGTACAAAATTATGGACATAGAATGTGTTATGGGCGGAAATAGGACTTATCGTCTCTGATATCATTCTGAGGGACTTATCGGTGATGAATCAATCCAAGGGACTTCTAGGTGATCAAGCAGTCAGAGGGACTTCTTGGTGATCACTGAGTCCGCATTATACAACACATGGAGCGCTTTAAGATCACTCGTCTACAAGTGTTCGATGTGTTTGAGTAAATATAAAAATTCCTTTGAATCAAGACGTATTAAAGCTCAGACGTGACTAAAAACTATGACAATGTCCTGTAGATAATGTTTATTGCTGTTGTTATAGGTTTAACGTCATTTTCAGCACGTTTTTAGTTCCGCGTTGCTCATTTTTCAGTACATTTAGTGGAGGAGGAACCCAGTTAAATTCTGGTAAGAACCATCGACTCACATTAAGACACTTTCAAGCTTTCTCACCTATTAATAATCATAATAGAACCCACCCGGAGATAGGTGAGATAGGTAAAGCTTGCATTCAGATGAGAATGGCTACACAAATAGATCGTAAATACTACTTCATAGAAAGCAGATTATGAATATTGCTTGACAAACATTCATAAAAAACCTACTACTAGGAAATTATATACAAAAATACTCCAGTGGAAAAAATACTATGAATATTCCATAGTTGTCATGAACACTCCATGATAAACAGATCATGAACACTCCATAGTGAACAGATCATGAACACTCCATAATAAATAGATCATAAATACGCCAGTGGAGAAAAACAATCATAAATACTCCATAGTAAACAGCATGAATACTTCCTGTTACATGGATCAAGAACACTCTATAGTAAACTGATCATGAATAGTTTATGGTAAACAGATCATGACTATGATGTCAAACAGATCACGAGTACTCCATTGGGAACAGATCATGAATACTTCGAGGTAACCATATAATGGATATTCCGGGGAAAACAGATCATGGATATTCCATGTTGTAGATATTATGAGTACACCACTGTATACAGATCATGTATACTACATGGGAACATATCATGAATACCACTTCATGGAAAGCAGATTATGAATACTGCATGGTAAACATTGATGAATACTGTAAATCATGAATAATCTAAGGAAGACAGATCATGTACATTCCTTGTAACACGATCATGAAAACTTCATGGTAAACTCATAATGAACAATCCATAGTAAACATACCACGAGGGTGAATATATCGTGAATATTCCATGGTAAACAGATTATAACTATTCCATGACAAATGAGTATGTTGTTCCGCATTCTTGAGTTGCTCAAAGATTATTTAGGTTAATTAAAATGACACAAAACATAAAATCATCTAATTAAACATTCTCCACCTCCACAAAAATAAATTACCTTAAAAATATAAGGCATCATTTATTTGGCAAGATTAAACATTTTGACATTTCTAATGAGAAAAGCAAGCTAAACATTATAAGAGATAGCTGCATCAAAAAACAATTTTATACAAGTTAATGTTAGTCTTTTATGCAATTCTCCATTTAAGATGAAATTGGTTTTGCTTTAGTTTGACACATTTAAATGCAGTTCGTTACTCATTTGGTGAGTGAAATAATTTGCTAACGGAATTGAAAGAGTTTATGTCAAACTACTTTTCGCCTGGTGGGAATGCATAACACATAAATACGTCACACTTCTTCAAATTACGTTCATTTATCGTTGGATTTTGATGTAACCTACCGGTAAATGAGTTGTCAGTTGATCTAGCGAATTTCTTCAAAACGTACAAAGGCTAGTGTTGTTTTGCTTGTTAAAATTCAAATGAATCCATGTACCAGTTAGCACTCCCGTTCTAGGGGGTGTTAGGATACATTTTCAGTTATTCAGGTGGTAATTAATATCAGATATGGCATAATTATACCAGTATAGTCACTCTATATAGTCTCAGTGGGGAACTTGATCATTTATTTCTTAATGCAAAATAACAGAATGTAAATTCCGAAATATAAGCCATTTAATTTTTTTCAAAACCTGATTAAAATGAGAATTCAACAGATGTTTTTGTCATAAAAAACATTAGGACAGAGAACATCATCGCATTACCGCTGTAGAAATTACTGTATCACCACCTTAACACTAATATTGCTAATATTGATGTCGCTTTATTCAAATTAGCATGACAAGCACGTCTTGTACTGTCCTACACCACTGCCTCTGCAGCTGGTATTAACACTTCTGTTGATTACACCACTACCACCACCAACGTTACTACTACCAGAAGTTCTTCAGGGTTTACTATTATTACTTGTACGACTACGAGAACATCTTTATTTCATTGTTGTTGATGCTACTAATTCTTACTATGGCTGACAGTAATGTTTCTACTAGTGACATATACATTTTCCTCCTCCTCCTCCTCCTCATCCCCCTCTTCATCATCATCATCATCATCATCATCATCATCATCATCATCATCATCATCATCATCATCATCATCTTCATCATCATCATCATCATCATCATCATCATCATCATCATCATCATCTTCTTCTTCTTCTTCTTCTTCTTCTTCTTCTTCTTCTTCTTCTTCTTCATCATCATCTTCTTCTTCTTCTTCTTCTTCTTCTTCTTCTTCTTACCGCTCCGGTAGCCTAGTGGTCAGAGCGTCCGCCTCGGATGCGGAAGGTTGCGGGTTCTATCCCTGGTCGAGTCATACCAAAGAATTACAAAATGGTGCTAACAGCTTCCTCGCTTGACGCTCAGCATTAGGAGATTAGTGTTAGGACTGGTCTGCCTGATGTCAGGATAATGTGACTGAGTTGGACACCATCCTACATGTCTGCGGCATGATGCCACAGTGCAAGACATCACTATTGTTGTAGTTGTTGTTGTAGGGTCTAACGCCATTTTCAGCACAATATAGGCTATACATGACGGCCAGTATAAATGGTGGAGAAAGAACCCGGAAAGAACCACCGACCCACCAGAAGCTACTGGCAGGCTTTCTCACATACCCATATTAGCCTATTCCGAGACTCGAACCCATGAAAACAGAGGGGAGATAGCAGATATTCGTAATTAACTGAAATTTTTTAAAGCTGCTTTAAAATTTTAAAACACACACACACACACACACAAACACACAAATATGAAACTGCATTATAAATACGTTTCACAAACTCCAATTATTATTAATAGGAAAATATTGCTAAAAAATGCTCGTGATTAATTGGCTCATGAATACATAGTTAAGGTGAATGTCTACCTAATGCTTTGTTGTGACAGGATTACCGTGACGTCATGTATAGTTGCATTATTAGTCCCGTTTAAGCCTAACAGTACTTGGAGTCATCCAATAAGAGATATATACTGGATAATCAAACCCAATTTATTTGTTTTTGACGTCACGTGATGAATATGTATCAATACTGATTGACATGTCGGAACTATTAGTTAGGCATACAATATTAAAGATGGCAGAAAGTCTCAGGCAAAGCTTAGTGGGTGATAAATGCGAACATTCCTCTCCAGTATTATATATCTATATAATGAAGACACTTTTATTGAGCCTTCTCTTGTCAAGCCATGTCTAGTATTACTTGAGGACCTCATACTAAGAAAGACCGACACTTCATTAGTTTAGATATACGGTCACGAGAAACTTTTATAAAACACTATGATTTAACGAAATTTGAGAAACTCGAGTACCTATTGGAATAATATATATCCTCGCTATGTGTAACTCACACGCATATATGGAAGACATCTTTTCATTTATATATTAAGCAGGAACTAAAATGTACACAATCAATTATGGATTTACGAATTAGGAATTAAACTTAAAAAGTGCGTGTGTATTTGGAGAGGCGTGTGCAATTGGGGAGAGAGAGAGAGAGAGAGAGAGAGAGAGAGAGAGAGAGAGAGAGAGAGAGAGAGAGAGAGAGAGAGAGAGAGAGAGAGAGAGAGAGAGAGAGAGAGAGAGAGAGAGAGAGAGAGAGAATAAACATATCGAATGGGAAAACTGTATTGTAAATTAAATCCAAGAATAAACAAATATTAGAAACTCGACATTAAGGATATGGCAGAATACATCTCGTTGCAAGTACAAATATATGATGTTAGGGCTAACAAAATGAATAGGCTATATTATGGTTAGAAAGCAACAAATTAATTTATACCATGCCATAATAAAAAACAATTGATATAAAGACTTATGTTCATTTTTTTTAAAAAAAATTATATTTTGTATTTTTGATTGATTTGATTTTTGGATCATGCTAAGCTTTAAAGAGGTGATACCAACGATAGGAAATGGCAATCCAATGTCCCAATGTTCGTGCAGGGGTTTACCACACACTGTATTGCGTGAAACATTTTGTGATCACTTGTGCTAGTCTGTAATGTGAATCAATCCGTAATGTGAATCAATCTGTAATCCAGGATCAGACGTAAGTGCTCCGTTTTGTCAAAAGAAGAGGCTTTTGAATAAAGAGTGGCAAGACATAAATCTTGCAAGTTAAACGAATACATGATATAGGTAGAGAATACAAAAAATAAAGGAACAATGTGGTGTCGTATAAAGTAAGCAGTGCAATAATTACATTTACTACATATCTAGGCATTGATTAACCAATAAAATATATTTATTGAAGGTAAATCAAAACGAAAAAAAGTTAAAAAGTGACAAATCGTTGCAAACAAATCACATCATTTTTTATGAAACAGTAACGATACATAACTTACCGATGCAGCACCATCGATACCACTTTTCATTTTCTTGCAAGTGACAGGAAACTGTACAAAATTTATATTTTAAAAAAAATACGACAATATATAACGGTTAAAGATGTTGTTGCTGTTTGTTATTGGGTTCAACACCATTTTTGAGATCAATATAGGCTAGACATGGCGTTCAGTATAAATGCCGGAGGAAGAACCCGGGTAAACCTCGGAAAGAACCACCGACCAACGACAAGCTTTCTTACACACCCACATTGGCCGAGCCCGAGACTCGAATTCACGCAGACGGAGGTAAGATCCGTAACGGTAAGCTTGTAAAACCTGCTATGTGCGTTCTTGGGCAAAAGGGAAGAGTGGTGATTGTGTAATGACATTGTTTTAACTTCTAATTAGCGATTTTAATCAGGGAGTTACATATTTTGATCGGAAATCACTAACATAGGTGGGTGGGAGTTATTATTATCGTGTAAGATGTTGCTATCGCTATAGCTTCACATAAACTTACCTGGTAAATGGGAACCAAAAGTAGTCCGTATAATTTACCGATGTATCACGTGACCATTGATATTTAATCAGACTGCAGAAACTTGAGTCCATTCTTAACAATTGTCATTACCATGTTTTAAAACCTTTATATTAATTTTCTTATCAGTCATGTTTCAAGCAGTTCCCGAAAATGTGCTAAATCCGGTAAAAGTTAGAGGAATAACCACAGCAGTAGTTAGTCCTAACAAACAAGAGTCCAGCGACTGACACAACTACTACACCACCTAATTTTTTTTTTCATGTGAGAATGCGATTCTATATTTATTTTATCAAACCTTTTAATGTTTGATCTTTTTGATGAAACAATGCATAATTTCTTTAATCTCTATAGTAATGGTTTACTATGTATTGCACAATAAATTTTGTCAGGCGAAATCCATTTGTTATCAGGTAGTCGTCTGTAATACAGTTTCTTTGGGATAAATTGTTTATTGCGGAACAATTCTTAACATCATTAGCAATTTCAAATACCTCCTGTATGCAACAATTATGACATAGCTTACTTCTGCATTGTTAATGGCGTTTATAATGCTTTAGTCTTACTCAACATTGTATTTATTTAGACAGATATTCAGCAAGGTAACACTTACGTGGTAACAATTTTGTCATGGCAAAAGTCAAACTGTTACCAGGTAGTTAATTGTGAATTGATTAAATAAAAATATAATGATCAATTAAAATCTTGTTCATCACTGTCCATTGTTGACCATTTGTAAATCTAAAGCATGATATAAGCATCAGCAAAAGCAGAGGTTCATGTTGCAAAGCAAACTGAGCTAAAGTTTTAGGATCACTTTAGATTTCATTATTTATCTATCAATTAAATAGGCACGCGTTAGAACAGACTTAACGTTCTTTGAAATAATGTCTTGCATTTAAGTATATGTATATGATTTGTCGCTAAATTTAACACCAACATCTATTTTCAAAAGAATTTTAAAACCATTTATGTTTTGACAAAATTAAAAAGATACCTTAAACAGGTATACGATCCGTCTATGAAAAATGGGATGCTGCTGTTAGAGTTTTATTTCCTTCATGTAGTGTGATTTCAACATCTTGTGACGTTATCCATCGGAGTTGTCTAAGTTTCATATTCTTCATTTGAACTGGAATTTGTGTTTCTTTTTGTGTTTGCTGTTGTTTATTTATACTGTTGGTGATCACTTGATTTGTTTTAAATTGCTGTAAACATTTACCAAGTTGTCTTTCAATATCAGATCTAAGTGTGACATTTTGTTTTTAACGGTTTATTGCTTACCTTGCTGTCATCTTGTTTTATGTTTGCTTGTTTTCGTCTTTCACATATTTCATTTATATTACAAGAAATTTGAAACGTAGATCAAGAAATATTAGATTAAAAGCTACTTAGAATGAACAACAAATGTATAAGTTACATAAAATAATACCTTTTACCTAAATATTCGTTAACACACCATTTATATTTCTTCGTTAATCGGAAAGCTGCTTATATTACCCTCATTGTTCCGTTGTTTTCAACTGTTTGATTTTATCAACACTGGTCGATGATACAACTTTTATCAGCTGTAAATACTCTTGCATATAACATAATCTTGCAGAGTTCGTTTTAAGTTTCTTACTGAATTCTCATTCTCATTGCTTACATGAACATAAAAGGGAATATTTAACGTCTTGACAAATGTTAAGATCTCTTCATCCAGGTCACTTCAACTTTGTTAGTAAGATTGTTTTCTTTCTTGCTGGTAACCTCGATATATTCCCTGTTGGTGACAATGTTTCTTTCGTGTGATAACATCGTGTTCTTTCTTGCTTGTAGCATTGTTGTCTTATTAGCCGAAGATGTTATTGCACGTGCTTATCGTTAGTAGGTTTCCTAGTTGCTATTCTAAACCATGTCAACTAAGCGTCTAGAGGACTAAGATCGTTAATTAAGTATTTAAATAATTAAATTATAGCAGACCCAGCAGCCATAAGTGTTAAAATAAATTATTGTATTTTTTTTAAAAATATTCATCACTAGTCTTAGTTTTAAGTGTTACAATGATGATTTTATTTGTGTCGTTACCTTACCGGTCTAATTAATCTGATGGATGTTCTTCATTAGCCGTCTAAATGCGTCCTAATCTGTACATTCTGTAATAGTGTAATATTTGTTCTGTTTTGTGTAGCGCTGACAGTATTATCCAGTATTCAACAGCACTAGATCTAAAGTTATAGCTAATACAATACCAGGTGAAGGCTTCCCGAAACTTTTGTAAAAGTATTATTTTGGTTGGCCCATGATCTATGGAATATTTGTTCGTTTTCCCCTTCAGGTGTACCTAGTTATGCTGTTAGGGAATTTAAAAATTAAATTTAATTGTTTAAGATCAGTGTTATTGTCATTTGAGGTGATGCATCGTTAGGTAAATGTGTATAACATGCATGCATCTGAGGTAACATCTG